TAGAGCTGTAAGGTAAGCGCTGTACAAAAATGCCTAAATAATAATAATAATAATAGCCGGAAGTCTTGAGTGACACGAAATTTCATTGCTATATTTAACTAAAAATAAGAGAGGTGTTTGATATGCGCTGGGACGCATTTGGATGCATCCATTGAATCTCCCAAAGGACGCATTTAGTCGCAACCGTCGGGAATGAGTTAAAGTTATTTTTTTATAGAAAAGTCCATATTTTGAATGTTTATAAAATTAATGTTGGTATCTATAGAATGGTATAATTAATGGGAATTTTCTCATCTCAATTTAAGGATGTAAATTAAAAAGACCTTGTGAACTCATATCATTTGCTTCTCCAGTGGACATTAGGTGGTGATATGGTGGTTATTTTGTGGTTATATGCCAATTTTATTCTCTACTAGTCAATTAATTTCTCTTTCTTTTGTGCCTCCAATACTTGAATATTTCACTATTGCAGCGGTTCTCAACCTTTGGGGGTCGCCTAAGACCATAGGAAACACAAATATTTATGATGTAGTAACAAAAATAATATGGTTGGGGCTCTGAGGAACTGTAGGAAAGTTGAGACCCACTGCACTATTGCAATGTTTGCACTTTGTAGCAGACCATATTTTGTAGTCTATTGAATTAATCAACGTTTGATAAAATGAGAAATATTTAGGAAATAGATTTTCTAGACATACAATAATTATTGAATTTTCATATTTTAAAAATTGCCTGCAGATTTTTGACAAGTTTCTGCCCAGGCTGACAGACTCCAACTCCAAGGTGAATCTCCATGCCCTGAAGGTCATGCTGCAGGTGATCCCGCTCATTAAGGACTCCATGGGATCCGTCATATCCATGACTGTCAGCGCCGTTGCCCCGAACCTCAGCTCTAAAAATAAAGAAATCTACACGACGGCCGCTGAGATTCTGGATGCCTTCATTGAGCACTTGGGTAAATCATCTTTTCATTGAGCACTTGGGTAAATCATCTTTTCATTGAGCACTTGGGTAAATCATCTTTTCATTGAGCATTTGGGTAAATCATCTTTTCATCGAGCACTTGGGTAAATCATCTTTTCATTGAGCACTTGGGTAAATCATCTTTTCATTGAGCACTTGGGTAAATCATCTTTTCATTGAGCACTTGGGTAAATCATCTTTTCATTGAGCACTTGGGTAAACCATATTTTCATTGAGCACTTGGGTAAATCATCTTTTCATTGAGCACTTGGGTAAATCATCTTTTCATTGAGCACTTGGGTAAATCATCTTTTCATTGAGCACTTGGGTAGACCATCTTTTCTATTGACGTTGCCATCTTAGATCACTTGTCCTCATTTATTACTAACCAATCTACCTGGCATCGCCCGAATTGCTTTTGGAAAAAATGCCTGCAGCATTATCAGCTAACATTGAAATTGTAAGAAAAGAAACATTTTGCTAAAGAACCTATCAAAATTAACCTTTTTTTTTCATTAAAAAAACAACATTTTTATGATAAACTGTTTAAATCTGTTCAATCTTGACCTTATAAGGAGCCACGTTTAACTTTTTAATAAAATGCAAGCTTAAAAAGTGGGAACTAAATAATATCCCCAACACTAAATCCATTTCCAGTGGATTACTCTGCAACAACTCAAAATCTGACTTAGATTCCATTCAGCCTGCTGCACAAAATCTTATAAAAACAGAAGTCCAATGCCAAAAGATGGCGCTAGTCAGTAGAGATAGATGCCTTTTCATAAACCACACTTCATTGCCTGTCTCAATGTCTGTCTCAACATCTGCTTCAATGTCTGTCTCAACATCTTTTTCAGTGTCTTTCTCAACATCTCTCTTATTGTCTGTCTCATTAAGTTGTAATAAGGCTGAATTTGACCTTTGTTTGCTCCAGACCTGACGATCCTCGTACAGCCATTTGCCAACCAGGCAATTAATGCAACAGCCAGAAGTAAAGCAGACATGGTGGACAAAGTGGCCTGTAAGTTAAACAGAGAATTTAACATTGCTAGCACAAGCATTTCAAACGTAGTTATATCTGAGCCAAGAAACTAAGAAGTGATTTATCTTTACTTGACAGACCTTATAGAAACTAAGAATTGATTTATCTTTACTTGACAGACCTTGTAGAAACTAAGAATTGATTTATCTTTACTTGACAGACCTTATAGAAACTAAGAAGTGATTTATCTTTACTTGACAAACCTTGTAGAAACTAAGAATTGATTTATCTTTACTTGACAGACCTTATAGAAACTAAGAAGTTATTTATCTTTACTTGACAGACCTTATAGAAACTAAGAATTGATTTATCTTTACTTGACAGACCTTATAGAAACTAAGAAGTGATTTATCTTTACTTGACAAACCTTGTAGAAACTAAGAATTGATTTATCTTTACTTGACAGACCTTATAGAAACTAAGAAGTTATTTATCTTTACTTGACAGACCTTATAGAAACTAAGAAGTTATTTATCTTTACTTGACAGACCTTATAGAAACTAAGAATTGATTTATCTTTACTTGACAGACCTTATAGAAACTAAGAAGTGATTTATCTTTACTTGACAGACCTTGTAGAAACTAAGAATTGATTTATCTTTACCTTACAGACCTTGTCGAAAGGGTTTACCCCCGCAAGCAGCAGCCCGTGGTGCTGCACGTGCTCCCGCTCATCTGGCACCTCCTGGGCTCCATGAACTCCAGCGGTGCGGCCGTGCACGGCGGCAACGTGGACCTCCGCCACGCCACCGGGACACTAGTCAATAAACTGTACGAGTGCATGGGTCAGAGCCTGCTGGACAAGGCCAGTGCCGAGCCAAGCAACACACAGAGACAGATACAGATGTTGCAGAGTTTGATAGACAGCTAGTGAGCGGGTGATTGTTTTAGATTCATAAGTCAAAGGTCAACGTTGTTTTCACAACCGAACATTTCCAGTCTCTCGGAGAGGCGGCTGACTACAGGTTTATGAAAGTTAAGCTCCATGTACAAGAATTTTAAATGGTGTTAATTTATTGAAATAAGGGGCATGATGATACAAACATTGATATGTGTAGTGAGTTCTGTGCACTGAGTACTGTGCGCTGAGTACTGTGTGCTGTAACTGCATGCTCAGAACTGCTGAAAACAACCATATGGGATAGCTAAGATACAGGTAAGTGGTAAACCTGTCTCATGCATCACGTTAGGTGGTTAGATTTATGGAATAGGTTTGGTCAAATTGTGGCTCTCTTGAAACTACTGATTATTTATTTTGATTGCATTTTAAATGCGTTCTTGTATTTATCCCTTTTGTGATACTGTGGCAGCAGACGTACAAACCTTGCAATACTAGCCAACAAATATAGAGCAATGTCCAAAATATATATACATTGCTGTGGCATAAGGCGCCATGACCCTTGATCCCTGGCTCTGAATCTGTAATATCCCTATTTCAATGACAATCGAAAGAAAATAAATTCCTTCCAGAAAAGTATTAAATGATCTCACTATTACGTTCTCTACGTACATTATTTTGTATGTTTGTACACAAGTAAAATTGCTTTTGGCTACAGCTGGCATGGATACATTGTGTTGTTATTTGAATCATATCTCCTGGAAATAAGATGTTTGTGTATGCAGTATGACTATGACTATATATATATATGACTATATGAATATGTAGGTTTGTTTTTTAACATTCAACCAGATAGTTTATAACTATACGTAAATAAGACATGCTGCATTGTTATTGAAGATTGTTAATATTATCCACTCTTATAAGATGTTTGTGTGTTGTGAATCGTGTAAAGGTGTTTTCTAAATTCTTCAATACTCATTACATATAAATAAATCAAGAACTTGCTCAAAGCGGCAAGTGAAAATTGCACTTGTGATGAGTGTGGGGGAAGAAGAGTCTGATACAACTAATATATTGATCTGATACAACTAATATTGATCTGATATGCTATTACTCATTGATTATTCATTGGTTATCATTTGTATTGCTGGTGTATATGACTTGTCTGTTTTCTCATCAGCCTTGGATTGCTGTTGGATATGATGGACATTTTAATCATGAAACCTGTAAAGCCTGAAATCTCATTCACAAAAGCATCGGTCAAAATTGTCTTTTCTCTGTACAGTTTGTCATTACATTTTTTTAACCTTTTCTCTAATGGAAAGAAAAAACAACATTAATGTTTACTTTTGATACATAAACAGTTGAGAGAAACTTGATATGATTTAGTTTTTAATTGAATTGATCTGTTTAATTCTCAATGACAAAATCCCAGTTTTTATCGTCGTTTGAGGAAAAATTTCCATTTGAAGGAGTATTATTTCCCAGTTAGTGAAAACATTTTAACTGACAGAGTTCAGGATTCTGCTAGTTAAAATTATAATTAATGTAAGCCAGTATGGAATGCTCAACTTGTTCAAATTTACTTATTTTGTCTTGTGTGCAAATGTTGTAACTTGTCTCTGGTAAAGTTATCGTGTAGATCTGTTGAACTCCAGCATTCAGCAATTTTCACTGTGTTAGAACTTGTCTAAAATTTCTAACTGTGGGGTTGCTACAAATAGAGCCAGTCATTGTTTTCATTGGTATGTCTTACCAAAACTGTGATAATTCCTTTTAGTCAAACATGCCTCTGTGATTTTCTAAGATTCCGTTTGCACTTACACCTCATGGATTCAACAGTGTACATGTATTTTAATGACATGAGATTTAAAAATCTGAAAAGGGGAGTAATCCTTTTTTTTTTGTTTGTTGAAAATATGACTAGTTTTGATGAGATGTACTTGTTGATTAGTAGTATTTTAACACTCATCTGGAGTGTAGTTTTGATAAGAAATTATATCTGTAAATAAGTACATATAAGAAATGTTGAGTTTCTCACAGGGGGCTGGTCTGATCCTGGCAAAATGTCAACAAGTTTAATCTGAGTTGTAAGATGGACTGCTGTCATTATGTACCGCTATGCATGAAGGGGCGCAATGGGGGGGAGGGGGGGGATCAGTGTTTTTACATAATTCAAACACATCGTCAGAAGACATGTTCAGTCGGGGCCCAGATTTAAGATCTCTTTGCTGTGACCACGTGCTGAGAGGGCAACCTTCTTTGTATTTATTAATTCCATTTATGCAGCTCACTCGTAAAGTTGAGTCTTCTCTTTATTTACCAAACCTGATTCAAAGCATTTCTAGATTTGTGCATATAATCTTATGTGAGCTTATAGAGGCAGAATTATATAGGCTTATAGAGGCAGAATTATATAGGCTTATAGAGGCAGAATTATATAGGCTTATAGAGGCAGAATTATATAGGCTTATAGAGGCAGAATTATATAGGCTTATAGAGGCAGAATTATATAGGCTTATAGAGGCAGAATTATATAGGCTTATAGAGGCAGAATTATATAGGCTTATAGAGGCAGAATTATATAGGCTTATAGAGGCAGAATTATATAGGCTTATAGAGGCAGAATTATATAGGCTTATAGAGGCAGAATTATATAGGCTTATAGAGGCAGAATTATATAGGCTTATAGAGGCAGAATTATATAGGCTTATAGAGGCAGAATTATATAGGCTTATAGAGGCAGAATTATAACGACACGTGCTTGTGCTTTGCAACGAATTATTGTCATCTTTTAAATGTATTGAAATCTATTATTGTACAGAGTCTTGAACTAACCTTAGACTTTGAGCCAACTGATGTAGGTGTAAGGCACAGCTGGTTCTGGACTGCCTAGCTTGTCTTATTATGGAATAGTTCATGCCTAGATTGACTCTTTCATCACCATGACTTGTGGAAGAGTTCATTTCCTATTTGAGCTTAAACCGAGGACAAGATTATCAAGAATATATTTTAGTGGAGAAGTTTATGTAAGTCTTCTGGGATGACTTCCTGCTAGGTCAACTGGGATGACTTCTTGCTAGGTCATCTTTTATAACGTCTTGCTTTTCAGTTGAAAAAGCTATTTTGGTAAAATTTCTGTTATAAAACATATGATGTTCTGTCCATGACCAGATACAAATTGTTTAATATTAAATTTAGTGATTATGTCTCACAGACTGGATTTATTCAACGTCACAGCTAAAATACTTCTTTTATATAATATTAATTTTGTCTTAGTACAACTCTCGTAAAAGCCAATAGGTCTTGGTTTTGACATTTTGAAACAAAAACGATTTTGCAATTTCAACATGATTATTTTAAAAAAAATAGTTGTCTGATTGACTACAAGGTCTCGGCAATTGCCTGCCAAAAAAGATAATCACAATGATTTTTTTTATGTCGCAAAATAGTTATACTTTTTATAGGTTTCATTTTTGTTTATCCTATTTCTTGTTTACCAGAGGGGACATGGGAACATTTTATGTCCTTCATTCATATGGATTCTTTTTATTCCTACATTAAGTTTGTGGTTTAGTTGTGTTCCCATGCATCTCACGCCTTTTCCTTTGATATGCCAGTTGTTTTTATTATTCCTAAGCTTGTAGCTCCATCGGTCACATCCACCATTTGCTTGATGTAGCTCCATCGGTCACATCCAACATTTGCTTGTTGTGGCTCCATCGGTCACATCCAACATTTGCTTGATGTGGCCGTGTTGATTTACTTTTAGTACTGCTTTCCTTTGATGATATACAGAGAGAGACCAGTGTTTAACTGTTGACAGGATTTATTACTGACCAATACCAGTGAACTCTACCTGTTGTTTAATGAACTTTACAAATGATATCAACAAACCCAGATTTTTCATGTTCACATCATCTTTTATTTCAATTTGTTAAATTTATTTTCCTGAATTTTTTTTTTTTTAATGCCAAAACTGCATATCAACAAATGAACTAACTATTATATGTATTTATTATTTGGTGCATAATATTTGACTAATGTTTTGTTTCAGTGCCTGCATATCAGTTTTAGTTCTAGGATTACAGTTGAATTGTGTGCTTTTTTGGTATTGACTTGTATGACAGGAGGCAGTATAGAAAACTGAACCAAAGATGCACAACTCATTTATATATTGAATAGTGCAAGCAATTGGTTCTTATCAGCTCCCTTTAAAGAAATTTCATAGCTGCAAAATCCATGGCATGAAATGAACAATGACCAATGTTAATATTTGACATGTTGGTCCCATTATTTATGTTACAATTTTTAGAATGCTGAATACATTATAAGTATAAGCCATTCTGCTGTATGTTGGCGGTGCATGGTCAAATTTGTTGGCTAAAATTTTTATGCTGTCCACAACTCATATAATATTTCATTTATGCTTTTGTTTGTACAGGGTGATAACTCTATTGAATGTGGTAGAAAACAGTTTCGCGGCCGTTAAATTGAAAACATTTTAAAAGGTCCATTACATAATTTACCTGCTAATTTTTTTATATTTAAGCTGACGGAAACACACTTGGGCAGAATAGTAACAAAAATAAGATCTGAATTTTTAAACTTGGGCGCTTGTCCGCTTAACTAAGTGCACAAACCAAATTACTTGCTTCCAAAATCTAGATTGGCGACATCAGTAAATAGATTTGAAAACATCAATTGTATTTGTCCCACAGATTTGATCTTATATTGACACATCATGAGATCTATACATTGACACATCTGTAAGTTTTGTTAAGACTAAGACACACAATAGATTCCAACGAAGCCGTGTATTACAGACAAAATACGTGCATTACCGGTTACCGTTCCATTCCAAAACAAATTTTTCTTTGTTAATCTTTTTATAAAAAAAATATATTTTCTATATAGTTTAATTTGAATTATAATCTTTTCTAACAGATTAAATTATA